CCCCAAAACCCCAAAACCCCAAAACCCCAAAACCCCACTCAGTTTTAAACCTATTGAAATTATTTATTATCAGGGTGAATCATAGTTTGAATATAGGCTCCGACCACTGGATCCAGATTGTTCTTATATAAAGCTTTAATTTCCTCAGATAGCTCTGAAATGACAGTCAGACGTGACTCCCGCTTGCCCGCAGTAAGGTTGACAAGCCCCTTAGCAGCTATTCTCTGACCTTGAACATTAGAATGGGATCTGAGAGCATCCAGGAATACCTTCAGACCCTTATGATCCATAATAATAGGCCTCAAGTAATCCCTCACGGACAGATTAGCCAAAGTCTGCAGTAGATGGTTCTTGGCATCATTCGACAATGTTTTTGAAGTATGATAAGCTTCAAAAAGGAATGGAATATGATTCTCAAACTCAGAGTCTAAGTGCTTTACTCCATCTGTTGAGTTATCACTCATTATAGCTAAGGTATCCACACCAATGCTCTGAAGTGAAGGGAATGGACATAATGCAACAGAAATTATTGTAGGAACATCAAGGCTCTGTAGTCCTTTTTCACAAATCACTTCTAAGAGATTCGATATGCTTTGTTGGTAATTCGGAGCATGATAGTTATAAGCTTTCATTATTCTAGGTATCCCACTTCTCTTTATAATAGTCTTAGCTGCCCCTTCATTTATGTACTCAGTGATAGCATCAAGGATCTTGAACTGACCATCTTGTGCTTCAAATGGAAGCGTAAACATTTCGACTAGGTTAAAGACGCTCATTAGTTTCTCTTGGTCATTGACTACAACTTTTGCTCAGTCCTTGATCAGTGGCTCCAAACTCTGAATAGCGAATATGTTAATATCTCTGTTATTGTCTTTGTCCAACATAAGGCAGTAATCATGCAGTAAATTATCATTGAAGGGGAGCTTGACCATCGGGTTTCTTCGAGCCCCTCCATCAAGCGGAAACTGGTACTCATTATCAACTACTTCACTTTGATCGAACATATTTCTATTTAGTTTTTCAGCCTGGCTCTTCATTGGCCTTGGCGCAGGAGACTCATATGGCATTGACTGAGGCTCAGAAGGGTACCCTTTCTGCTCTTCTAATTGGTTGTAATCAACTGGGCCAGCTCTGCTGCCCGGATGTATGGCATCATAGCCTACCTTTCTTAGAGACTCCCTTCCTCTTGAGGCTATCCTCCCTTGTCTTCTGGGCTCTGGATGAGAATAAGGCTCGATCATCCTCTGTGGAGCTTGCATCTTCCTACTCATAGGCTTCCTAGGTTGAGGGATGTAAGGCTTAACATTTTCTGGTCTCTCAGGGTAAAGCCGAATATTCACATTCTCATACTTATTACCTCTTGGACCCTCTTTGGGCGGCTTTGGAGGTGCTGAATCCTTAGAAAGACTGGTCACAATTCGTATAATTTTACTCCTAGTCTCTCCTGTTGCAGCACTTGATTTTGATAAGGCAAGCAATCTAGCTACGATTGGAGACCCTTTAAGCAGCTCCCATAACGATGGACATATGATCAAGTTCTCAATGATAAGAATTGAATGAGTCATTAGATAGGTATCATTCTGACACATCTCGTTTAGCCAATATTGGAGCAGCAATATTGTCAAGTCTTGTAAATTTCTATTGCTCTCTTTATCATATATCTGAACTGAGAAAGGAGTAAATACTTTACTCAAAATCGTTCAGATGTTATGAGTCAGGTTGCTGTTTGTCGAAAATCCCAGATTAATCACATTGTTCAATAAATCTTCAATGTCTTCATGCAGATGAAGGTCTGATGAAGCAAGCTTTGCGACTACGCTACTCTGCAAGTTCTTAAGCATCTCTAACAAATCCTGGCTATTACCTCCACCATGAAGGCCTTTAACAGAATCGACGCCAGGGGCTGCTCTAAACTCCGAAATTCCTTCAGGTTGGGCATATATCCGATCGCCATGTTGGAGGAACTCACCGACCAAGGAATTATTCGAAAGGGAGTATCCTTTGTCATCTTCTATTTTAGCTACAATATAAGGAGGTTCACTTGGGAAAAGGTCGACAAACTCCTTCTCAATTTTCCTCTTAAGCTCCGCTATATACTGGCCGTTATGAGTCATGATGCTTAGCTTTTTATAATCATCATCTCCTTCGTACGATTTCTTAAGAGTTACATATATACGAATATTAAGCTCTCTTTCACCATGCGAGCTGTACTGGGCCTCCCTGCTGTCTCTAGAAGCCGGGGCTCCCCTCATGGGAGCCCGCTGATGGTCGACATATGCGATGGCATTACCTCCGTTATGGTCTGATCGCCCATAATTGTTTTGGTAATAAGAGTCCATGTTTAAAAATCAATTATTAATTTAGAAGCAGGGGTTTTGGGGTTTTGGGGTTTTGGGG